TTTATCAGTGGTGTTGATGGAAGTAGAGAAGAAGATATTGCTTGGCGAACTTGAAGCTATGGGATTTCCCGAGGCTCTGGCCGCAAAGGCTCTTTCTTCTTCTGGTAAACTAGTTTGAATTGCTTGGTGGTGTATATGACATACTGATAGAACTACCTCTTTTAAAATGGAAGTTGTGATTAACATTAAAAGACTTGTTTAGGTAGTTCAAGCATTGAGGACGCAATAAACTGGCTTGTTGATCAAGATAATGATAAAACTTTTACTGAACCACCTGAGGTAACTAATAGTTTGTGTTTTAAATAAATATGGCCTTAATTAGGTCGTCTTCTTCATCCTGTCATGTATACTTTTTTCTATTAACTGATCTTTGTTTTATGCTATTTCGTTGTTTTAACTTTTGAAACTCTACTGCTTATGCAACAGCAATCTCAGGCTGCAGTCGACATCACTGTCGAAACATCAAAATCCTTCCACATTTCTGAACAAGTTATGCTGAGCGCACGAGTTCTGAGGTCTGCTTTCTATAGTCTATGTTGAAGCTTTCTTTTTATAATCTTCATATCCAAATACCTTCATGCCAGATGCAGTTTTTTTATTACTTTCTGACTGAAAAAGGTGGTTCATTTTTTCTGGTATGTCCCCATATCCGGAATCTGAGCAAATTTAGGAATCGAGCACTTAACAAGAAAGCAGAGCTAGAGAAGAAACAAGAAAGACAAACTGAGAAGGTACTGTAGCTTCATAGAGGTTGTTAGCTTCAAATACATCTGCCAATTTGTTGTCAATGTGTACCAACTAATAATGTTAAAATCAAAAAAAATAGTGAGTGGGATTTTGGATAAATTCGTATTCAGTTTCTCACAATAAGACTTCCACTGTCGTTTTCCGATACATAATGACACTGTTTGTGGGCTAGAATGGCACACAACTTTGATGCATACGGTTCAAAAAGAAAATTGCAAAAGATCCATTTCCTGACATAGTTGAGAGTTCTCATAACTTAATCAGTTCATGGATTTTGGAAAAGAATAACTCAATTTTCTACCATGAACTATTTGTGTCAATCGAGTAGCTGTACTTTTCAAAGTGTTCTTTGAAGCTTTGGGGAGAATAAGTTCATATTATGCACTGCTAGTGTGAGCTTATGGAAATTATGAGCATGTCTTATGACTGATATATGGTTTTATATTGTGCTATTTATAGAGTCTTATATTTGTCAAGAAAATTGGTTCCATGACTTATATGTGTTAATGTATCTGATATTTTATCACTAAATATGTCATCTACTTTTAGGATAGGATTCGGGCAGGTAAAGAGTTGTTAGAGGCTAAACGAATGGCAGAAGAAAGAGAAAGAAGAAGGTTAGATATGGTATTTAGTTACATTTGTTCACTTGAGGTGCTTTTTTTCTTCGTTGTTTACTGTGATCATGTCACTCTTTCATCTACTTCAATGGAGTCTCAGGTTTTTGGCCCAAAGGAAAGCAGGGAAAGATGACGAGAAAAGAGCAAGGGATAGAGTTCGCCAGAACGTGCAGCAAGACAAGGTACAGATGAATTTTAATGTTGACAATGTCCAGAATTTACGGACTATAGAAGTTATATTGATTTTCCAAGACCTAGTGAGAACTAGAAGCATCATCCATAACCTTGGTAGGAAGACACTTTCCTCATTGTTACATTTTAAATAGTCACTCAGTTCAAATATTATTCTAACATGGTTTCATCACATCAACTATTATCAAAACATAAGAGAAAATTTCAAAAATAGTCCACAGGATTGGATGAGTAGCAAAAATTGGTCACACAAATTGCAAATACGGCCCTTTACTTCAATTTTTTTTTAGTTCCAATTCTAGTCCCATCAACGTTAACTTTTAACGGAACGCTGAAGGGCCGTTAGATGATTCATACAAAAGTAAAATATTGCAAAATTGGTCCCAGAGAATGTTATAAATTGCAAATTTGGTCCCAACTTTGACAAAATTGATTCTAAATATTCTTATTTTATTGCATGAATAATCCTATTTATTTTAAATATTATGAATCAATTTTAGAAAACTTATTATTCTTTTAATTATGTATATTGCACATTATCTTTAGTTTTAATTACTTATTCCTTTAAATGTTATAAAAAACACGACTTTTTAAAATTATTAGTTATCATATCTAAGTTGGTAATAATGTTGTCAATATCTCGTTGTTATAGCAAGTAGAGTATTGAAATAGGAGCAATAAAACAAAATTAATAACAATTTGAGGGAATATTGCTTGTTTTTTTTTTAAAAAAAAAAATTGGGATATATTATTTTATATATTAAACAATAAATAATTTGGTATAAAAAAGAATTATATAATAATGTAATTCAGGTTATAAAAGTCACTAGGAAGCAAGTTGGTGCCTATCGCTTAGTCGGGATTAGTCTAGACCTAGGCGGAGTCGTGAAAATATTAATCAATTTATATATATATTTATTTTCATACATAATTTACAAGTTACATTAGATATAATATATTAATTAATATGCTAAATATAATATATCTGGAGCTATTATATTAACTTAAATATGATTATTAATTTTATAATTAACACATATTTTATATATAAAATTAAAACCTATTTTATTATAAGTTGAAAATAAAATAAAAACTATAGGAGCCACCTGCCCCTCCTTGACGACGCTTAGTGGGTCGAGCTTAGAATAGCTGCTTAGGCAAAAATTATTGCGCTTGGGTGTAACTGTAAATTTGCATACAATGAAAATATAAAATAATATATATTACAATGATATGATATATTAAAATTGATATTATTTAACCGACAAAAAAATTGATAATATTTAGATAAAATTACTAATCAAAATCAAAAATAAATATTATTGAAACTTTCACGTAATATTATCTTAACAAATATTATTTTATATTTTAGTTTTATTAACACTTACAATTAAAAAAATCTAATTAATTAGTTTTATCATTGTGTTTTGCATTTAAAAAATAATTTGGAATAAAGATAGTATTGCATGATGATTTTATTGTATTAATAAAATATACACACGTAAAATAACAATGTTACGATGATATGATGAAAGAAATTAATAAGAAATTCAAAAGTTATAAAAAAAATGTAAGACTCAAATATCCAAATACAACTTGGTTAAATAATTATTAAATTGATAATTTTTTTAAAAAATATTGTAAAATTGGTCCGACAATATTGGCCAAATTGCAAATTAGATCCCATTTTGACTAACGATGGGGCCAAAATCTATATCTATATATATTGAAAAAGGTTGATGTTAAATTCATTTTTGGAAACCTAAAATAATTGAGTCAAAACTTTGACTTACTAATTGGTGAATATCTTTGTAATTCCGGATTTTTCTTTTGGTTTCACGGATTTTTGTATTTTTTGGTTTTCACGGATTTATCTTTTGGTTTTCACGGATTTTTGGGGATTTCATTTTCACGCGTGGAAACTTATCATTTTACCAACAATTGTTCTATATGGAAATAATAGAAACTTGCCTTTTGAATGACATAATTTCCAAAGACATCAATCATTAAGCTACGAGCACTAGGGATAATCTCCACCAGTATCTTCGTCTTTTCTTCAACAGTAGCACTCTCCAATTTCTGCTGAATGAAGCGGCTCCCATATTGATCCATGCTAAACCAGAAAGAAAACAAAGTTTATGAGAAAATGTATTATAAAGAGTGTGTGCAAGCAAACATCCTTGTCGGCTTATGGCTGCAAAGGATAATTTTCCAAATAAATAGATATTCACGCTATTGAAAAAAGCAGATTTTTTTTTTCCCTTAAAAAACGCAGTATCTCAAAATTAACATTATCTCATTTTATGTACTCCACTTAAACTAACAAATGGAGTATCTACTATTAATCTTATTCAGTTCCACTTAAATCAGTGATTCAATTTATTAAATACTTTTTGGAACGGATCATTTTTTTATTTTTTTTAATTTAGTTTTCAAAATTTTATGCTTAAATATTGTCCTACCTTTTTGGCTTCTTATAGTGCACTTTAAATTTTAAAATTGTAGGCAAAAATTATTGTCAACTTTTTTAAACAATTTTGTGTCAAATTATTTGAAAACAATTATGTATCAACAAATCGGTTTAAAAAATGCAAATATGTTTAAAAATGTACGAAAAAAATTTTTGGTATTATGTTTTCCACAATAAATCTCAAACTATGAAATTATTCATTTACATTAATATCCTAAATCGAATATTTGTAATATTTTAATTACATATAAAATCATCACGATGTTTAAAAAATTTGTGTTTATCTTTGCTCATTAAAAAAATAAATTAATTAAGAATTAAGTAATGGTAAATGTTTTTTTTTCACAATTAATTTATTTATATATTACGTTTTATAATAAGTACTTATATATATTATATAAGCGAAGAAAATAGTATGTTTAAAAACATAATAATTGATATGCAAAATGTCGCTAATATGTAGTAACTCATGTTGGTATTGATTTTGAAAAATCAATCGATCAATTTAGTGTTGTAAAATATGTTTATTTCTTTTATAAATATGTACAAAGAAAGAAATAAGTGACTTATCTTTAGATATATATAATTTATAATCTTAATATATCGTCATTTGGTATAAACATTTACTACATGAATCATAAAATATTTTTTATTTCATAAAGTTACATATATTTAAGGAATATAAGAAAATTTCATTTGGTCAATCGAGTGATTGAATTAGGTAAATGCTCAATATTAGTTGATATTTAAAATAGTAAAAAAAAAACATGACACAACTGATATTGATGTCGGGTGACCGAGTTATGGGTCAATGACACGATTTAGTAGTGACCACATTATGGGTCAGTTTGACCAGACCAAATCGATTATTAAACTAAATATATTTTTTAATTTTAAAAATACTTTATTATAGTAAATGTAAACTAGTTCATACTGCAAATAATCATATTAAGAATTCTTTTATGTCAACATGTTCAAGGAATTATTAACACTTATATGTTATTTTATTAATATTTATGTGAACAAAATGATACTGCGTTACAACTTTATTAATGTACGGTAAATCCAAAGTTCTCAAAAGAGTATTGTTTTCAAAACGATGAAGTTATTTATTCAACTTTATTGGTTGCACCAGAATTTATTGGTTGCACCAAAATATTAATTAAATATCCATTTTTATTAATTATGTACTTTTGTTTACATTAAAAATAGTTTTAAATTTAACAAAATTTATGTAAAAAATCGTAGTGAACTAACAGTATGACCGATTGGTGTTGACCGGTTCTCTAGCAAACATTTTATTCAAGTGAACCGAACTGGCCGATAAACCGGTTCTCGGTCCATATGGTCAGACTGTTCGGTCCGGTCTAGTTTGAAGACAATGGGTAAATCATGATTAACGTTATTTATAAATTTAATATATAATACAATCATAATATTGTTCCCCGTGCATCTCACGGGCCACGTACTAGTTACAACTAAAAAAAGGATCATTTTTGCAATTTGTTGGACCAAATTTAGAATACGCCCAATCCTATGGGACTTAATTCGCAATTTTCTCCCGTGCACAATTATGTCACTACTATTCTCTTTCTTATTTTTCCAATTCCCAATCACATTTTAATGACTATTCTATTTGAAAGAAATTATTGCATGATCGTATCATCAACCTGTATGCACTCACAAGTCACACTATCAGTATACATTCCAATCTCTCCAAACAAAAATTTTAAAACTATATTCTCCAATAAAAGAGCAGCAGAATGACAGATTAAACAGTCGCATGTAGAGACAAAACAAAACCA